CGGGGCGTGGTCTCCTCAGAGGAAGTCCTGTGCTTGCAGCCCTAAGGTGCACCCGTCTAAATGTCTTTACTTCGTCGGGTCTCTTTGTGATGTTAGCAGGCACGGATCATCCCAAGACCCCTGACTGACTTCATTAGAGGTTGCAAAATGATAGAATTCTATCTTTTCTTATTTATTTACCTATTTACTTTTTTAAAAAAAATTATTTATTTTTAGAGAGAGAAGAGGGAAGGAGAAAGGAGAGAAACAATGATGTGTGAGAGAAATATCAAGCAGTTGCCTCTTGCACACCCCCAACTGGGGACCTGGCCCACAATCCAGGGATGTGTCCTGACTGGGAATCGAACCAGCAATCTTTCAGTTGGGAGGCTGGTGCTCAACCCACTAAGCCACACCAGCCAGGGCTACTTCTTTTTTGTTGTTGTTGTTGGAATACTTCTCTGTAGAGAACCATCACCTTGTTTACTATAGGGAGGAAAACGCTCTCTACTCTCTTAGGAGTAGTGTTTGGAACCTTGCAAGTTAAGCTGACAAGAAACAGATCAGCAGAAGGGAGATTTTTATTAACTATGAATCTGGGAGTTCACAGACGAATGCATGTCCTAGAATTGGGGGCTTATATACCACCTTACCAGGGAATGGGGAAGGGCAGAGAACAGATGGCTCCTTAAGAGGGGTTGGGGCAGAAAGGGCATTTAAAATAAATGACTTTTGGGAAAGATAACTGGACCCTTAGGAGAATAGACAGGAGAGAAATACTTTTCAGTACTTAGTACAAAAACACAGAAGGCAGTGTTTTTGGGTGTGGTACAAATCTCTCCAAGAAGAGACAGGAGTTGCTCCATTTGTTTTATGACAAATGAGTTCTTTGGGGGGGTATGCTTTTAGGCAGATGAGGAATTTTGGGGACTCAGATACCTTCAGCTCAAAATAATTGATATGCCGCTATAGCTTATTCTGCCCCCATCACTCTTCAGTTACCAGCGGTAGGGTCTGTTCAGGGAAGTGCGGACAAAAAGGGCGTCTATGGAAAGGAACCTCACAGGGCGATCTGATCAAACTGAGCAGGCCTCTAACCACACAGGTCATGGTGGGCAGTCATACCCCAGGTATATAATTTCTCTAGCAAAACGTTTATCTTCGCCTCAAGCAAGCCCTGTCCAGTTCCTGTGATCAACTTTGAGATGTCTCTTTTCATGTCCCTTAAGTAAAACCACCCTTGAAAGAGCACAGTCTTCACTATCCTGTAATGCTTCCTCTCACCTTCATGTCACCTCCCTTACTTCCCTCCAAATGCATAAAAGCTGATTTCATTTAGTGGTAAAAGGGCCCAGACTGTCAAAGTCTTCATAGAGCGTAAAGTGGATCCCATGTTCGCTTGCTGTTGGAGGTTCAGCCACTGCTCTCAAATTGGCTTGCACAGCCTTCAAGTTCCTGCTGGGTATTTTGGAGTTCTCACACATCACAGGCCCCTTTACTGCCCTGTGTTCTTCTGCACAAAGGCTGGTATTATGCAGCTCCTGTGGGTCAGAGGTTTGTCCCTACCCGCTTGTGTTTTGGGGTTTGTGGGGACTACCCTGTCAACTAGTTTTGCTATCCTAGCTGCTATTTTTATGGATTTGTGCAAAATGAAAAACCATGCCACTACCACCTTCTTATAAAAATCCAATTTAAATATCCTCTTAATAAATGTTCTCCACTGTTTAAATGAGTCAAAGTTAAGTTTTTACCATGTGCAGCTAAAGAACGAAAACTGTTGCAGAGGAGTGTTAATACAGCAAAGGGGTGGGAGAAGCGCCTCTGTTGCCGGACCCGTTTTGAGGCATGCAAGTGTCTGAGTGGGTTGTGTAGCACTTTGTTGAAAGTTAAGGCTGTCACAATGGGCTGGGGGCTGGAGAAGGTCCTCAACTGTTGGATCCCTGACAGATCCTTGCTGTAGGTTCTAGAGCAGGAAATGAGGTGTTCAGAAGATGAACACTTTCATCTGTGCAAGACGGACTAGCTGATCTGTTAGGAAATAATGCAGTGGCCCAGAAGAGAGGTGCAAGTACCAGAACCAGACAGTGGGAATGCCAAGGGGAAGACAGAAGATAATGGAAGAAAACTGACCTCAGATGACCGTCAGATGACCGGGAGGGGAAGAGCCCCAAGGCTGAGTGATTAGAAGTAAGACAAGCACAAAACTATGCATGTAACCTCCCACAAGTGACCCAGAATTTAAACTGGAAAAGTCAACCTATCCTAGGAAAACAGAGCTTAGCCTGCGCTAAGAGGGAGAAGTGACTAGCTCACGGCCCATTACTCTCACAGATGCAGGAATGTGGACACCATAAACAAAGGCAGGAGCAGCAGCCCCCTACCCCATAGATGACTTCAAATCGGCCTCTGACCACGGCCAGCTTGTCTGGAGGAGATGCCACTCAGTCTCTTTGTCCAGGTAATTGCACTCCAGCATCCATCCACCTTCAGGATCTTCCAGACCTAAATTGTTTGACGATGTGAATATTAGGAGGCCTTAATGGGATCCTTCAGGCCCTTCATAAGAGGCACAGTTGCCCTACCAGGGTAGCTCAGTTGGTTAGAGCATCATCTGGATGTCCCAAAGTCATGGGTCCCATGCCCCGTCAGGGCACATACAAGAGTCAGCCAATGGAGGTATAAATGGGTGGAGCAATGAGTCGATGTTTCTCACTCTGTAATGAAGAAATGGCCCCTCCTTTGAGTCCTGTCATTGTTCTAGTGACATCAGCTCTGCTTCCTGCACTTCTGGCGTCTAAAGCAAATGGCCCCTTCCCCTTTAGTGCTGAAGCCCTGCACTTCGAGCGCTCATCTGGGCAGTTAATCTTGGACTGACCACTCTCTAGCTCCAGTCAAAAGACGAATTGAGGCCATTTCACAATCTAGTAAGAATGTTAGTTACCCTTTCTTTCAGAAGCAGTACTGTCTATATCAAGTAAAATCATCATAAAGCTACAAACCTTGACTTTTTAAAGCTCCCTGTAGAAACATCACCATCAATTTACAATTTACTCTTGCATTTTTACTGAAATTAAAAAAAATGAGAGGCATATGAGCCATTTTTTGTATTTTTATGAATTTATGAAAGACATTTTCACTTTGTAAATGACCCTTATGGTAGAAATTTGTAAATTTTATGCTAGAGATTTTCTGTCCTTACCACCTGTTAATGCTCTAACTGGCTGCAATAGGAACACATCACCACTCCTCTCTCAATGCCAGAAATCTCGGACCTAAACTCACGTGTCCCAGAAAAGCCTGGAGTCCTCACCTGCCCCCCATGACTCTTCTTGATCTTCTACTGAGTTATACCACACCGTTGGTCTTTATTTTAACAGTTGCAAATCCGTCTGGGAAGCTGGCATAAACTATATGCAGCTGCCTTCTTTCCCCTCCCCTATACTTTTGAGTTATTTCACCACTGTTACTCATTCAAAAAGACCCTCTCAAAGTTTATCCTCAGAGAGCCAATTAAGACAATTGTGAAAATCAACTGCCTTTGTTCCTTTCAGCCAAAAGGTGGTGTGACAGAGGAGTACACACAGAATTAGACAGGCGGTGAGAGGTAATAAGGTTTAAATAAAGCAAGAGTAGTATATTGAGCTAAAGACTTTTCAAGGGCATTACTGTTAGAAGGTACCTAAGTTAAGCTAAATGGTTCCATTACATTCTACCATTCTGTCTTGCCGGTGGCTCTGGCACGTTTATCACACTTACATTCACGACGGCCAAAGCACAGGACCGTATCCTGAGAAACTGAGTGAAGGTCCACTGGTGTCAGGCTGGGTTTCAGAACCCGGCTCCAGCACCAACTGGCTGTGCAACCTGAATCTGACTTTGTATGCTGGGTCAGTCACCAGGTGTTGACGACATAACCCGAAGAACCTGAGGGCCACAGCACCCAGCAGGCTTGTCCTACGCAGGACCTTCCCCTTCACATAATCCCTAGAACCTGTTTCTCCTCCCACCTACCAAGACTTGTTTTCTTCACACTGCTGTCTAGGCGGCCCATCAGGTCTCCCAACTGCCTATCACACTGTCCAGTTAGACGGCTTCTCATGTAAGTTTGTTTCTGACCTGCTCATGGGCCCTTCAACCCTCCTCTTGCCTTAGCCAACCAATCTACACTTTCTAAGAACCCATTCACATGCCTCCTCCAAGAGCCACCCCCACTATTCTTGCTCTTTCTTCTTTCAATTATTTCAACTGGACTTGCTCTTCTGTTAATATACCACTTAAAAAATGTGGATCACAACTATCTGACCCTTGTATATGCACAGTTGATTATTAATTGCTTTTGCCTCTAGAGTATGTATTTCAGAGTACAGACCATCTTCTACCTTCCTGTACCAATCACAAAAGCAGGCCTTGCCCACACAACAAAGCAGAAGCACGTGGGTGGGGAGTGAATGGGGAAGCATTAGAAATACCCCAGGTGATTCTTACAAACAGTATGAGGAAACCTCTCTATGCCGCCCTTCCAGCAGAGAGAAGCCTGTCGATCAATCTTCACTTACTAATACGGCCTTAACACAGGATTAAGTATTTCCTTCCACAATATTCTATATGAAAAAGATGTTTCATATTATGCTTCACAGAAAAAGGTAGGAAATACCTCGTTCTTCAGCTAAGAGTCACTGTAAAAAGGGTTCAGCCTGCAGTCCGGCCCGCCTGCCTCCATGCCACGGGTAACCGACTCCAGTCGTGGTTGGCCTCTGGTACATTCCAGTGTGGCGAGCTGGCAAGTGACTAGGGGTTGTGGTCTGTCTTTTGACACCAGGATGATTCTGCTTTACTGTCCTAGAGATGTCTATTTTTTAATGTAATTTCTTACCAAAGACAGTTCTTGAAATTGCCTTCCCAGTTTTTCTGAAGTTGAGAAAGTTATTTCCTTTTTCTGCCCTCTAATGCTCATTCTGCATTATTTTCCGAAGTAATCCTCCATTTTCAACTCCACAAATAAATAAAAACCAAGCCACACAGTTGGAAATCAAGTTTTGTTTTTATATGAACAGAAGTAGACCATCTAGAAATATTTCAGTTTATTTAAATTGTTAAGTAGAATATGAAACCGAATTTGTAGCTAGTACCAGAGAATGGACTTAACTGTTTGGTATTTAATGAGAAAGAACAGCTTCTACACAGGATCCCAAGAGACAGAAAAAGGGGCAAAGCCCTAATATTAAGCAAATAAAACTCATGTTTCAAACAGGTTATACAAAAATTGATTTATACTCCATTTCCCTTTTTTTGATATTTAGAAAGTGCAGATTTAACAAAAGGTAGCCATATCCTTTCTATGTACAATGCCGATTATAATTATGCGAACAAAACTGTCAGTCTGTTACCCAAAAAATCTCAGTGCTTAGCTCTCAAACCTTAAGTCACTGACTGAATTGAATGAGTCAAGATTAAAAATAAAAAAACCTGTCACATTCCAGATAAGGGGAAGCAACAAACACACCAAAATTAATTAACAACATAGGTTTAACCTTAAAACTTTTCAAGAAGCCTAACATCATTTCATTATTTTTTTAGTGGAAAATTAGGGATTATTTGGCAATGCTGCTTTTACTAGTAGTAAACAATGATAAAGTCAAGTGAGGGGGGGAAAAAGCTAGGAACGACCACCAGTGAGGCATATACACTGCCTTTAGGGCACCATCTGAAAAAACTCGCGGGCATTCGTAGCAGATACGTCCCTACTTGTTTATGTGAGCCAAGAGGGCATTAAAATGCTGTCCACAACACAGAAAGACTTTTCAAAGGAAGCTGCTGTCCTAAACTCAGCCTCTGCTAGAAATGAATCATGCTATTCACAATTATTTCAACAAAGGTATCATCTTAGGATGCTAGCAGCGTAGCAAACTTAACTACCCTACCCTAATCATAAGCAATGAAGCAAAACTAGAAAAATGAAGTGGAAAAAAAAAAAAAGGACAGGGTTGAGATGGCTAGAGATCTTATCTTACATGAAAAGCCTTTTGTTGTCCTTTTTCTGAATCCATGGTAATTAATACAAGTTCTCCAAAGGGATGTGAGAGGACTTAAAATTAATAATACACTAAGGTATTTCTAAATCTTAAGGTAAAGAGAACTAACACTGAAAAAGTGTTCTTCGAAGGCCAAATCTCAATATATTTGGCAAACATGTTAAATTTGACTCCTCTTTCCCCCCTTTTTTCCAACAACCTTTACTGGGCTACCAAACTGCTAGGGGAGGTGCCAAAACAGAGGCTACCCAACTTCAGGTTCAAGATTTACTCTAGGAAAGTGAATAGGCTATATACCTAATCAGAAAGACAAACCACGACACCCTCCAAACACTAGTGCATGCAATGACTCCTCCATTTCATAAACGCAATGGCTAAGGGAACGAAGAGGGAAGGAGAAGAGGAGCATGAAGTCAAACAGCAGATGAAGGGATCTGGGGCGGAGATTTTAGGGTAGAGGCAAAATGAGGGGAAGACACAAGTAACTGACATTTGAATAGTAGACAGTTAGAATTTTCTTTCAGTTTACTTAGCAAGTTAAATCAGTTCTTTATGTTAAATTCGACAAACCTACCAGTTTGCCCCTTCCATTTAAAAATAACTCATACCACGAGGTGGTGGGGAGGGAAAAGCAAATAAAGCAGCATGCAGGAAGACCAAAAAAAAAACAACAAAAAAACACACACACAAGGAGAAAGTGGCCAAGAACAAGAACCAGTGGCAGGAATAGTTTTAAAACATTAAGGCCACTTAAAATGAGTCTCAGCAAACCAGAGCTGTCACTTCTGCGCTATCCTTTGTCCTCAACTACTTGGAAAATTACAGCCAAGCTAACTATAAACATTTTAATGATAAAGTTTATGTTTGGATGTCTCCTGCACATGCTTCCATCAAAACAAAACCAAACAAAAAAAAAAAAAAAAGGGAAAAACCAAAGTTCCTTTCCACATAAGGCACAGGACAAAATTAATCCCATTTACATATTCAAGGCGAAAATGAGTGTTTTCCTGGCTTTTGTTTGTTTTTTTCACTATTACATGTCTATAGATTAAAGGGACTCAAGCACATTCTCCATGACAGAAAATTCCACTGTTGTACAAAATAAAATTGTTAATTCTAACTTTTATTCTTATACAATTTGCAGAATAGAGTTGAAATGATTGCTATAAGTTTTAATGTTGATAAGAACTGGACTATAATACAATGGAAATGCAGTGGTGAGCTGAGCAAGTACATTTAAGTACATTTAAAAATGAAGTCACAGACATGATTTTTCTATACACTTTTTTTTTTGTTTAAAGAAAATTATAAAGTCAGCAAGCAGTCACAGATGAAAACAAATAAAATAGGTGAAGTGGATAGTTAAGATGAGGAACAAAAATATCTATTTAGAGTTAAAAATGGACAGAGTGGTTTATTTTGCAGCAAGAGAAAACAGGGTGGTGGATGGCAACTGATGGAACAGGAGGACCTCAGCAGCATTTGCTCTTCCAGCCCGTCACGCCGCCTCCACTGCTGATATCTACATTTTCACTGTTGGGCTCTTTTACGGGGGTCTGGAACAAACACACGAGGAAAGTAACCCATGAAAAAACACTGCCACAGATAAATCAAGATTGAACAGAAATACTGTCATAAATGTTCATTTATGTAACAGAATGCAATTACAGTCATGAGACAAGTTTTCTCCCCCGTGCAAAGTAAAGATTTGGAAGCTTTGTTCTTGATACTCGTTTTGCCTGCTTTCTCCAAGCTGTGAAATGTCTAGAGGCCTCCCGGCACTCCTCTGAAATCGTGGAAAAACTTCTGAAATCGCCCCTGCCCCTAACACTTTTGCAGAGAAATCTGTTATCGCCTAGTCCCTGACCCCTGAGTACTTAGTACTTAAAAAGCATTATCAAGCATATGCATAAAATTAATGTTAGGTCATGTCTAACTTCAGAAAAGTAAAACAGCCCTTTTCTGTGTAGTTTACTTGCCTTTTGAGACTGAAGTTTGCATTACAAAAAAGATTCTTCTTTTATCAACTCAAGAGAAAAAGTAATGCACACAAATGTTGCTAGTCAAAAACCACCACTGTGTTTCACACCTGATGTTAAGCAAGTTTATGTTTGATGTTTTAACTCAGGTTACCAGACTGAAAAGTGTATGAAAAAAATGCTACCTCATATCTGGACCTGCCTACATGGGAAAGACGCTACACTGAGAGAGATCTTTATTCACTGATGCATCCATACTTTTTAACTTTTAATAGGAAAGCAAGGAAGATCTACCTCAATGGGACGCAGATCACACAATGACAATGTAGCACTATTTTTAAAAAAAATGCAAAGACTGATAAGAGCAAGGGACATAGTATGGGCAGAAATAAAAAACAATAAAGAAGACCAACATATCCAGAAAAAGAAAGAACAGAGACAAGGGTATTTCAACAAGTTTGTGACAAGTTCTGTAAATACCAAAATAATTTTTCACTGCGACCCACCAATCTCTGAAATACAAATGGTTTCCACCAATTCAGGAGCCTGTCCTGCATCGCCCTCCTCTTACTGCCACGGCTGCACTGGAGTGCGCTTGATGTGAGAGCTCACACCCTTCCAGGTATTCGTTTGCTGAACATAACCAAATGAGGCGTGACCGTGCAATTACATTGTGATGCTAAACGTGTGTTGGAATAATTTAAAAAATAAGATCACACTACACAATTATATCCTAACTTGCTTTTTATTGCTCACTATGTCACAGCCATCAGACTTATTATGCAGGATGTTGGCAGATGAGGAAGGGTACAGGCTTTTTTTATAGTCACTCTGAACAGCACTAACTGAGGTCTGTTTTATCCAGTTTGAACACTCAATCATAGTTAACAGATACCATTTCATTCTGAAAATTAAGTTGCTTGGTTTCTACGAGATCTTACTAGATTTTTATTTGATATTCTACCTCTATTACAGTTTACATTGTGTGCACGTGTATACATATATTTCTTTTAAATCTTTGGGTTTGGTTTTTGAAAAATAAAAGCTGAAAGGTTACCAGAAGCAATGAAATTTTCTCTTATACAGTGTTTCTCTTTTTAAGATTTGTGCCAGATTTTCTCTAATTTTACTTGCATATAAATTACAACAGACTGAACAGAGAATTCAGAACTCATAACCAAATCTACCCATTTGAGGGAAAATATGAAAATCAGATCTCCCAATTTTGCCACAAGTTACTTGCATGGTAAGTTTTGGGGTTTACAAATGAAACACAGAAATTAACCTGGAGGCAAAATGAATTCCCCGAGGTCACATTTTCAACCTAATTTTTTTTTTAATTTTTAAAAAATATTTTACTTTTTTTTTTTTAATTTTCAGAGAGAGGGGAAGGGAAGGAGAAAGAGAGGGAGAGAAACATCAGTGTGTGGTTGCCTCTCACAGGGCGCCCACTGGGGACCTGGCCCACAACCCAGGCACGTGCCCTGACTGGGAATCGAACCACGACCCTTTGGTTCACAGCCCGTGCTCAATCCACTGAGCTACACCAGCCAGGGCTCAACCTAATTTTTATTATCCTTTTTACATTACAGATTGAAATGATCTGCTAAATAAAATTTGGGGGTGGATCTACTCTGTTTATTCTGTGTATAATATATACACACCCTTTATTGGCACATGAGAATGACTATACAGAAGAAGTGTGTTTCTGTAGCAGTAACTACAGAATACATTCACCTCTTAAATTTTAAAAAATGACCTATGGAAATGCAAAGGATGTGTAAGAGAAATGAATCCAAAAGTAAACATAAAAGCCACAACACAATGGACCAGACAAAAAGCTGGGCAAAAAAGAGCAGGAACGAAGAAACCAGAGAGTAAGTGTGCAGCGCGTGACAGTAACTACTACTGACTGGATCCTACATGCTTCTGCAGGCCCTCTATTCTCCCAGCTCCTCAATTCACTTCTGAGGATTAGATACTGGTGGTAGTTATATGTTTCAAAACAATGTCACCCAAACCCAAGTTTTGTATGTAAATCTAGTACTTTAGAAAAGACCAGGTGTTCAACTATGAAACTAAGCGCCTTAACAGTAAATAAAAACAGGAACTTACCTTTCGAAGGATATCTTCAGCTAATGTGAGAAAGGCCTTTTCGATGTTTATATTTGCTTTTGCACTAGTCTCAAAAAATCTAATCCCATGCTCCTTTGCAATCTAAAATAGAAGCAAAATGTCATCACAAAATTATCAAGTACAGGTTGCCAACTGATAACGTTAGCATCTTAGAGGCAACAGTAATATTACGATAAAGGCAATAGTTCCGAGTGGCTTATATAAAACAGTTTATTTCAATGGATCCACGTTCACACAGTCAAGCTCTTTAAAAATAAACAAACAAAAACAATAAAAGAAATCTTCTAAGTGCTTACTTCGGGTATTCTAAAACAAGTGGAACCTGGAACAACATGGGTCTGAAGTGAGCGGATTTTTTCCAGTAAATACACATTTGGCCCTTCGGATGCCTGGGTTTTGCCCCTGCAGACACAGGGGCCCGCTGTGTGCATTATCCTATGTCATTTGATGTAAGAGACTTGTGTGTCTTTGGATTTGGGGATTCACAGAGGGCCCTGCAACCAATTCCCTGCAGACACCGAGGGACAACTGTAGTCAAGGTTTTGGGGAGTCTAAAGTCAGACAGGGGTGAAGTGCCAGCACACTGTTCAAGGGTCAACTGTATTTTATTTTACTCCAGGGGGAAACCTGAGAGAAGTCAAAGTGACTTAGGCAGTATCCAGTTTCTGCTTGTCAGAGGCAACTGGTTGTCTGTCTATGGAATCAATAACTAATACATTTTTTTAATGTCTTAAATTTTAAAATTTGACAATCAGTAACTTTTATTTTCCCCTCTGTAGCTTAACTAAAGCTAAAAATGGTAGTCACAGATTTAATCTGTAACTGTTGAATACAAATTGAAGTAAGTTCACTCATAAGCTACTCCTTCCAACAGCATTTAAAAACCCACGTGAACAGCCCAGGGCCTTCCATTTTCACTACTGTAAAAACAATCCCATGCAATGCCATCTTCACGAAGAAAGGGCAGCACATTAGTTTTATTTGGAGCTTTTTTTTTAGTTATTGGGTTTTAGGAAAGGGGAGAGAGAAACATCAATTTGTTGTTCCACTTATTTATGCACCCATTGGTTGATTCTTGTATGTGCCCTGACCAGGGATTGAACCAGCAACCTTGGTCTGTCAGGGCTACGCTTTAACCAACTGAGCTACCCAAGCCAGGGCCGATCCGGAACTCTTTACCTGTTCTCCTTTTCCTTTAGGTACAACTCTTTTATCATCCATATCACACTTGTTTCCTAGTAACATTCTTTCCACATCTTCATTGGCATGCTAAAATGGAACAAAAACTTTATTTACACAATTCCATGAGTTATGGCTTACTACTCCCCCCAAATGACTTTTCCTCAATATATGGTATCAAGAGTCCGAAAGTTTTAAAGGAATTACCCCCAAATCATCCCACGCTAAAAACTTACACAAATTCTTAAATTACCTAGGGAAAAATCACAACGGAGACATACCCCTGTCAAACATTATTTTCCCACTGTATGAGGCTGCCTGATTACTGTTACACATGTTCTCACCAAGAGACGGGAAAGGCAAAAGCAAGAGAGCTGAAGCCGGAATCCCTTGTACATAATCTAAACCCAAGATGGATCATGATTTTAGATCATGGGCATTACCCTACAGAAGCATTAATTAAAAATTCTACAGGGCCCTTAAAGTCTCAAAAAGCTACACTGCTGGGGGAAAAGAATCCATGCAGAAGAATCGGTTAAAAACAAATATTTGCTCCACCAAAATCCTAATGAAATCTTTTGCACAAATAGAAAAATCCACCCTGAAAATTCATATGGAATCTCAAGAAACCCTGAATAGTCAAAACCATCTTGAAAAATAAGTACAAGGTTGGAAGATTTATACTTATTTCTTGATTTCAAAACTTACTACAAAGCTAAAGTCATCAAAACTGTGCTACTGGCATAAAGATAGACATACAGATGACTGAAACAGAGAGCACAGAACTAAACTCGTATATACAGTTAAATGATTTTTGTCAAGACTATTCAATGGGAAAGGATAATCTTCAACAAATGGTGTTGAGAATACTACATAGCAACATGTAGAAGAATGAAGTTGTACCCTTAACTTACATCATATATAAAAATGAACTCAAAATGAATCAGACCTAAATATAAAACTCTTAGAAAATATGAAAAGTTTTATGACATTGTATTTGACAATGATTTCTTGGATATAACACCAAAAGCATAAGCAACAAAAAGAAAAATATATATACTTCATCAAAATTAAAAACTTCAGTGAGTCAATCATAATATTATCAAAGTGAAAAAACAACCCATGGAAAGAGAAAAATAGCTGCAAATCATATATATGTTTTTGGCCCAATGCACCTGTCCCTGAATATCCCCACAGCCAAGGTAGTTATGTTCTCTGGATACCAAGAGTACTTTGAGTTTTGATTGATCATCAATTTGAATCCATCACACTCTTTCCACCAGCCCCCTTCTTTATCTGGATGACTTCGACTCGTCTCTTCAGGTCTCAGCTTAAATGTCATTCCCCATTTCAAGACTGTTTGGCTATTCAGGGTCATTTGCATTACCATATGAATTTTAGAATGAGCTTTTCAATTTCCACCAAAAACAGGTGACTGGGATTCACTGAATCTGCAGATCACGTTGGGCAGTGCTGCGTTCTGTACAATATGAAATCTTCTTACTGATAAGCATGGGATGTCTTCACAATTATTTAGATCATCTTTAAATTCAACATTTTACAGTTTCAGTATACAAATCTTCCTTCTTTGGTTAAGTTTTCACTTTTTTTTGATGCTTTGGTAAATGGAATTATATTCTTAGTTTCATCTTTGAATTATTCAGTCCTAGTGTATAGAAATACAACTGCTCTTGTATACTGATCTTGCTCCCTGCAACCTTACAGACCTTGCTTGCTGGTGGGGCTAAGGTAACTGGGGACACCCCTCACTCCCGGAAATGGGAGAGGGATCTGAGCTGTGCATGTGTATCTGGAGACTTGGCCCCCCTGTTAAACATGGCGGCTGGAAGAAGAGCAAAGGCAAACATGGCCGATATTGGCCCTCTCTGGTTGGAAGGCTGGACACTCCCACTAGCTTTCAGTATGCATGGGATTCTGGGAGAGGACTTTGGAAGCTGAGTGTGCTGGGAAGCAAAAAGACTGTTGGTTCTTTCCCCTTCCTCAGGCAGGGGGCATGTCATTCATTGGTCACCAGTGGGCCTGCCAATGATGGCCAGTGCAGGCCTAGGGCGGAGGCCTGGGGGCACAGACTCTGAAAGATGCCTGAATCTGGACAGTGAACAGAGACCAGCTAAGCCACCCATGTCTATGATACTTCTGTGTGGGAAAAGAGGTTCCTGGTGTGACCTTGAACTGCGCTGGCAGAGGGTCACAGGTGATTTTTCTTTGGGTTCTTGGAGGGAATGAACTTTGAGGCAGAAACTTGCCATTATTTCCAAAGACCTTGTTGGTAACAGTCAGCACTGTGAACAGGTTTTAATTCTTGTGTTACTTTCCGTTCTTGAACCTATACAAAAGTTGTAACGAGACTACTTTTGTTGTCATGCTCTGACTTTTTCTTTCCCCTTACCCCAGGTATTTTTGGCAGAAACTTTCCATTAAATAAAAGATTCCTTTCTTCTCCACCCAACTCCATCTCTGGACATTTGTCTGGTAGGTGGTGAGCAGCAGGACCACCCCCACCCCATACTGGGTGGGTTTGGTAACACTGATAGCTTATTTTTATTGTATGTGCATGGATTCCTCAGGATTTTCTACATACAAGATCACTTTAAAACAGACTTTAACTTCACAGCCTCAGTGCCCCCTTTTCTTTGTCTGCTAGAATCTCTAGCACGGTGCTGAAGAGCAGTGACCAGAACAGGTGTCCTTATCATGTTCTTGGTTGTACAGGAGCAGGTATGGTGTTGCCTGTGAGATTTTCACAGATGTCCTTTATTATGCTAAAAGAGTTCTCTTCTATTTCTAGTTTGTTGAGTGTTTTTTATCATGAAAAGGCATTAAATTTTGTCGTGTTTTCCCTACCTCTTTTGATACGATCACATGGTTTTTCTGTTATTAATAGGTGAATTACACCGATTTTTGGATACGTTAAACCACCCTTGCATTCTTAGGTAAATTCCTGTTGTAATGGGGTGCGAAGCAAGGGGACCCCAAAGTCCCCACAGCCCATGGTTGGGGAATAGGGGAAGGAGATGATACAGCATTTAAAATACTTTGCATAACAAAAGGAGTGTAAAACCAACAGTAGCTTCTATTTGGGGCCATCTTACAGGGTGGCTACAGAGAGTTTTTGGGTAACCTAGTAATTGCCTTGAATGAAGTTCTAGATAGACCTGCCCCCAAATTTAAGAAAAAGGTAAAAATAATATTAAAAATTTAAAAAGTAGAAATGTTCCATAATACTACATTATATCCTAAAGATCAGGTAGAACACTTTTTCTCCCCAACCAAGCACATAAAGGGTTTATGCAATTTCTGGGTCTCACCTCATCTATGTTTCTAAGCCATTTGCTGATGTTTTCAAAACTTTTGCCATTGGTGATGTCATATACTAGCATGATACCCATTGCTCCTCTGTAGTAGGAGGTTGTGATGGTGTGAAATCGCTCCTGGCCTGCCGTATCCCTGAAATAAACAATGAAAATTTGTGAACATTTTGATATTACTATATTCTAGATAAAAGGCGAAACTATAAAATAATTTGTTAGAATACAGATTAAAATCCACTCTATGTCAAACATGCAAAATAGAGCCACCACTAACTTAATTAATTGGTAAACCATTATGATTATTCATAAATACACATGTCTATATAAAACTTTTAAAAATATTTATTTGTTTTTAGAGAGAGAGAGGAGAAGGGAAGAAGAGTGAGAGAGAAACATCAATGTGTGGTTGCCTCTCATGTGTCTCCTACTGGGGACCTGGCCTGCAACCCAGGCATGTGCCCTGACTGGGAATCGAACCAGTGACCCTTTGCTTCACAGGCCCGCACTTAATCCACTGAGCCACACCAGCCAGGGCTATATAAAACTTTTTAGTCAAAGCAAATTAATGACCTACCTATACTGAATGGAAAAACTGAAAGGGAAAACAATAAAAAGTAACCAAAAAAAATCTCCTGAAGTTATGTTAAAATGAATACCAGTAAATGTGATAAAAACTCTTGGAGTTCCATTTTTAAGTGGTCTAGCTCTACAATGTAATGTAAAAGCATGTAGAAATTTTAGAACATTAAAGAACTACACCAAAGTATAACCACATCTACCTTTAGAATCATTAGAATCATTGTAAAAATAATCTTGTTTATAAGACAAAAACATGTAAACAGTATTTTTCAATACTTTCAAAGCCAATGGTTTAAGACACATAATTTGCTCCTTTAATTTTTCCCTCCTGTCTGCATCACCACTTTCTTCCTTTTATAGATCATTCTCATCAGCACAAACATGTTTTGAAGATTTTATTCATGGACCCAAAGAAGACCACACCAAAACACATCATAATTAAAGTGCCAAAAGTTAAAGATAAACAGAGAATGTTAAAAGCAGCAAGAGAAAAACAGAGAGTTACCTACAAAGGAGTTCCCACAAGACTGTCAGCTGATTTCTCAAAAGAAACTCTGAAGGCTAGAATGGACTGGCAAGAAGTATTCAAAGTCATGAAAAGCAAGGACTTAAAAAAACCTGGATAACTTTATCCAGCAAAGCTATCATTTGGAATCAAAGGGCAAATAAAGAGCTCCCAGAAGCTGAAGGAGTTCATCATTAGGAAGCCATTATTACTTGAAATGTTAAAGGGACTTATTTAAGAAAAAGATCAAAATTATTAACATTAAAATGGTAACAAACTCACAACTATCAACAACTGAATCTGAAAATACAAACTAAGCAAACAAGCAGAACAGGAACAGAATCAGAGACGTGGAGATCATCTGAAGATTTATCAGCTGGGAGGGGAAAGTATGGGGGAAAGATGCAGGGATTAAGAAGCATAACTGGTAGGTACAAAATAGATGGGGGTGTTAAGAATAGTAAAGGAAATGGAGAAGCCATGCAATTCAGTTTTTGTTATAAGTAATAACAATGTAGAGAGATCTAACACTAACACTATGAACACCAACCCCAACACTGTCTAGCTATCATGTGCTTCCTTTTTCCCCATTCATTCACCTTACACAATTAGCAAATTATATGCATGTTTCAGTGTCAAATCCATTACTAAAATTCTCCACCCAGAAAGAACACACTGCAAAAGCAACTAAGTCTGCCCTGACTAGTGTGGCTCAGTTGGCTGTGTATCATCCTGCAAAGACAAAAGTCCCAGGTTAGATTCCTGGTTATGGCACATGCCTCAGTTGCAGCCAGGTCCCCAGTTTGGGGTGTGTGAAAGGTGACTAATCAATATTTCTCTGGCACACTGAAGTTCCCCTTCCTCTTTCTCTCCCTTCCCCTCTCTCTAAAAATAAGGAGCAACTAAGTCTAAATCAACAGCACCTGGAGAAGAGGTTTATATTATAACACTGGTTAGTTATGAAATACCAATATAAAAGATACTGAAATAGCCCTGGCTGGTTGTAGCTCAGTGGATTGAGTGCAGGCCTGCAAATCAAAGGATTGTGGTTCATTTCCCAGTCAGGGCACATGCCTGGGTTGCAGGCCAGTTCCCAGCAGAGGACACATGAGAGGCAACCACACATTGATATTTCTCTCCCTCTCTCCTTCCCTTCCCCTCTAAAGATAAATAAATAAAATCTTTAAAAAAAAGATCCTGAAATATTGCAATATTAATGGCCACCCGAAAAGAAAGGTAATTACTATATAAGTTCAAAGTAAATTTCTCTTTTGATTCATGAGATACTCCATCTGTTCTTTGATTTTTGTCTCCTCTATCTTCCAAAAAAGTTTACACCCAGTTATCTTCCCTCTTGATATGCTCTCCCTGTTAAGATTTTTTTAAGTTTTCTATATCCTATTTTCATCTATACAATACTTTTACATTTTTTCAACATCACTGTATCTACCCACAACATGATCTGGCTCCTTTGGCTCACTGATCTCAAAGTATCCTTGTCCTGGAATCTCATTATACCAGCTCATACCAATTGTTAAGGCAATCAACAATGTACTTCAAACCAGAACAGAGCCCTTGTCCCACTACTTCTAGGCTAATTGGTGACCCTTTGCCCAGGATTAAAAATAGTCACAGCTGCTTTTTCATCGGTCAAGTTTATTTTTAGGTTTGCCCACACACATACACCCAGGTCTAAGAACAGCAGGTTGATTTCAATAAGCAAAAGCACATGTTAAATTACAGTGACAATGTTTTTATCTCATCATATAAGGTTTTTAAGTCTGTTGACAAAACTCTGCACTTGATGTTCCTCTTCCATTAAATTTCGCTTCCTTCTAAGCCTATATATAATAACCAGGTTTCTGAAATTATAAACCAACGATGACAGAATTCTTGTTATGTAAGTAGATACAGTTGAGAGAATATTTTCCCAACTGACATATTATAAAAGGAGTGATATATTCCTAGCAACAAAATAGCTTATTTTCTTAATTATTAGTCCCATAGAGTCAAGGAAGCTGTGTCCTCTAGCTGCTATTATGACAGTTATTTTTAGTCTGGGCACCAACGACACCGGGACAGGCCAGAAACATTATCAATCTGTTTTGTAAGTCAAAGACCCCATATTTAAGTCAGGATGTTAAATTCCTCAGACCCAGTTTTATTTTAACAAGATCTGGATTTTCCCATAGATATGCAATGCCTCTACATCCAAAATGATGTCAATTTAAACTGCCTCCTGTCTACCTATGGAGTTGACAATCCTGTGGGGACAGGGATAAACAAATAAATATACAATCCCAAATTGTGACAAATGCCAACAAGGTAACCAGGGTGGCATGATGAAGAATACGATAAGGAAGGAAATAATCTAGATAGAATGATCAGGGTGGTCCTCTTTATAAAGCTGATGCTTAAGGTGAGAAATATGAACAGAAATTAACCAAAGTCATTCTGTCAACAAATACTTACTGAGCATCTACATTTGCCAGGCTCTGTTCTAGGTGGTGGTTGTAGAACCACGAACTAAGACAGATGGGATACCACCCTCAAAAAGCTTACATTCTGCCCTAATTGGTGTGGCTCAGGGGGTTGTCATGTAGTCATGAAAACCCAAAGGTCACCAGTTCGATTCCCAGCCAACTGATGTTTTTCCCACACATCCACGTCTCTCTCCCTCCTTTTCTCTCTCCCCTTCTCCACTCTCTAAAGATAAATACATACAATCTTTTTTTTAAAAGCTTACATTCAAAAATAAACTATGACGAAGATAAACTAGGATAAACCGGACAGTGCTGGGAGAACCAGGCTACTTTAGCTAGTTATCACCAAGTCCTCTCTCTGAGAACAACACTAAAGATCTAACTGAGAGAAGACAGCAGGGCAAAGATCTGATGAAAACCATTTCAAGTAGAAGAAACAGTTGATGTACAAAGGCCCCAAAATGGGACCGTGCCCAGCATGCTCACGAGAGGAACAAAATGGCCACAGTGACCGGAGCAGAGTTGGTGAGAGATGAAGTCAGGAGGGGCAGGAGCCAGAACCCGGAGTTTTCAAATTGCATTCTTGTTGAAACAGGAAGTCTCTGGAATAGAGTGGTATTTCAGAATGCTCAGTCTAGCTAGTGCTGGAAGAAGTGCAAGGTTAGGGGGTTGAGGGTGGTCTCCAGGGCATGCACCAAAGTCCTAAATTGGAAAAGCACAAGCCTTGTTCATGGAATTGAAAGGAGATCAGTTGCAGGCAGAAATGATGTACACAAAGGAGGTCAGAAATGTGGGCAGGGGCCCACTCTGTGAACTTTGGTAAGAAATTTGGATTTGAAATTTGCACTTTTATTTGAAATGCAATGGAAAGTCAAAACAGTTATAAATAGGGGAAGGAATGAAAATCATGACTAGATTTATACTTGAAAAAGGTTATACTGGCCATTCTGCAGAAAAATTACCGGAAGAAGGCACAGGATAATTTGAAGAAGTAATGTAATGATGCCTTCCACTGAGGTAGGTACTAGTGGAGAGGGCAAACTGTGTATGAATTCTAGACACATTTTGGAGGCTTGCTAAATTAGATGTTGGGGTTAAGGGAATGAGAAGAAGGAAGGATAACTCCCAAGTCTCTGGTACCTGACAAAGATAAACAGGTAATCCTTCTATAATGGGACGCTAATGATTTTTGGTGACTATGACAAGCATTTCTGACACACCCCCTCAAAAGGAAGGAAGGAAGGGAAGAGAAGGGAGGGGAGAGGGAGGAGAAAAGGGAAAGGCTGACTTGAAGTAACTCATTGTAGCTGTTTTCCTGGCAGGAACGGCTACTCCATGGAAAATGTAGACTGCAGAAGATACTGTGGTAAAACTTTCTAGAGATCTGGGATTTTAAAAGCGGGAGAAACATTTCTATCAGCCAAACAAGCTAATTTTAGTCCTACAGATGTGTGCCATGGCCAGGGTGAGACCCATCTCCACCCTCGTGCAACAGAGACTAAAGACTCCTAGAGAGAAAGCAAGAAAGGAAGATCATTCGAATAAAGAAAGACATTAATGAGACATGAATTGTGCTTCGACAGAAACTAGATGAACATTTCATAATAAATTACTGCTATATGTAGTAAATATAAAAGAAAAAAGACAAATAAAACAAAACTGAAGAAAGTTTCCAAACCTAAAATTCATAGAACAGAAACTTTTCATGTTGAAACAAGAATCTGAATATATGCATTAAAAATTACTAATTTAATTTTAAAGTCTATGATTCATACTTGATACAAACAAAGAATTTTATTGTAGTTCTATAGGGGCAAACTCTATACAAACTAATAGAAATAATGCCTATAAGAAGTTACAAACACATTAAAGAAAACAAATATTTTAGCTTAAGCTTATCAGAGCATCAAAAGAATTACATTGATTTTTTATGTCTCGGCAGGGTATCTCAGTTGGTTAGAGCATCATCCCGATACATCAAGGTTGTGGGTTCAATTCCCGGTGAGAGCACACACAGGAATCATCTGATGAATGCATAAATAAGTAGAACAACAAATCAATGCTTCTCTCACTTTCCTTTCCTTTCTCTAAAAGTTAGTAATGTAAAAAAAAAAACCAAAAAAACAAAAAACCTTTTTCTAGAGTGTGAGCAAAGTATGTACTAGAGACTTTACACAGATTATTTCATGAAATCCTTATAACAATCTTTTGAGATATGTGGTATTATCTCCATTTTCCATATGAAGATATAAGTGGCTCACAGTGGGTATGTAACTTGCCCAAATTCATATAGTAAGTGGAAAAGATAAAACACTCAGCAAGATCTCATGGCCTCCAAAGTCCATGGCAATAATTTCCATACCTCACTTTCTGAAAGGAGGTCACCTGATTGCTGGTGCTTTAGAAAGAGAAGTCTCACAGAATCCAAACAAGTGATAAGACCTTCAGGCTTGGCATTCTACTACATAAAGTGAATAAATTAGCATCACTTACCATATCTGTAGCTTGATCTTCTTTCCTTGTAATTCAACTGTTTTGATCTTAAAGTCTATTCCTACAACATAGAAAAAAATAGGTAAAAATTGTATCTGAACTGTAGTATACTAAAATTAACTGGAATAAAAACACATTTTTTTAAAATGTGTGTATCTTTTGGTCCTGAATATTCACTAAGTAGTCAATTCCGAGCAAATGTGTCAAATTTTAAACCTGAATGATAATAAAAGATCCAAGATGGTAGAAGAAATAGCTATATAGAGTTAGTTCTTACAGTTAGAAAATAAAAAAGTACAATTTAAAATATTTAATGCAAAGGAACGAAAGGTTTCCCAGTAGGAAAAAATACAATCTTCCTAGCCTACAGAGCAAAGGGAAACTATGAGAAAGAAAAATCTTAGCTTGGTCCCATTATGCTTCCCATACCCAACAAAAAAAGGAGGGTTGGGGAGCACTTGCCTGACATTTACAAACCTCAGTTTACAATGTCTATAGCCTCATCCTATGCCTGCAATTGGTTTAGCTTTTATAAATACCAGTCTTTGTGGAGAAGAGTTCTATGGTGAAAGGAACCTCACAGGGTGATCTGGTCATCAATTCCTAACTGGGCAGGTCATGGTGGGTCATCATGCCAAAGGCTTGTAACTTCTTTAACAATAAAAGGCTTATCTTTGCCTAAGAAAGCCCTGCCCATAGCTCTGTCCACCTAGACTAAACACCTTTGCAGTGCCTCTTTTCAGACCCCTCTCTAAAGCATCACCACCCTTCCAGAGAGTACATTACCACCCTTCCAGAGAGTACATAATCTTGACTACCCAGTAATCCAATCCCCACCTTGCTTTCTCCCACCTTCATAATCTTCCTTAAATTTGGTTCTTAATCTCAAAAGCATAAGAGAAACTACAAAAACTGTTATTTTCTGAATCATTTGAGATCTTGCTTTGTCATGGGTTTTGGCTCAAACAAACTCTTGTAAAAATTCTTTACTGGTTTGGATGTTTCTTACTTTGACAGTCTTTATTTTTATTTCTCTAGTAACTATTAAGAAAATCATCCTGAAATGGTCTGATGGTCAAGACCAACTCTGAGCAAAAATATTCCAGTTAAGCATACAATCTGTTAATTGATCGCAATGACAAACATGACAACAAATACTATTTCAGAAAATTTTCCTGAAGAAAGGTTAAATTAGGACACAGTCTGAAAACTCTAAAGCCTCTGGGATGGAAACCAGGTACAACTGGAAAACTTCTAAGAATTTAGGCTGTTTTAGACAAAGGCACCTAATTGAGGTTCCCTCTGCTCTGATGATCTCACCGTTGTCTGTCCTCAAACTAATTAGCAGTAGTTGAAGCAATTCCTCATTCTTGTCTGCACAAAAACTCTCCTCGTATGTTTACCTATCTGGCCACTCTTCAACCTTCATTACTAGTTTCTCAACTCTGACCTTTCCTAAAAATTGCAATGAACTCTTCCATCTTCACTCATTCCCTTGATCTTCCGAAATTTCATGGCTTTAAATTCCACATACACACTGATAACTCTCAAATTTTATCACAGCCCTGACCTCTCCCCCGAACTTCAAACTTGAGATATCCAACTGCTTACTGGCTACCTCCAAATACCATCTTTCATGAAGACTAGCAAAAGTGCTTAAAATAGTCCAGAAAGCCCTACGCTTTCTGTCTACCCGCCCCTTTCCACCCTGTTCTGGTCCTTTCTTGTATCTTACCCTCATCTAGCTATCTGTGTTGGTGTCCTTGTTGTTCCACACACAGAACCAGCAGACTTTCACCTCAAGGTCTTTGCATACATGGTTGCCCCAAGCTGAAACAGTCTTCTCCACTATGGTGCCTTCCCTGAGCTGCCCTGCCCTAAACTGCAACGCTTCCCATGTCCCCCACCACATGTCCATTGTCTGTCAATACTCCCTAATCTCCCTTTTTAAAAAAACATATTTATTTATTTTTAGAGAAACAAGGAAGGAGGGAGAAAGCAGGGAGAAAAACATCAGTGTGTGTTTGCCTCTCACACGCCCCATATGGGGGCCTGGCCTGCAACCCAGGCATGTGCCCTGACTGGGAATCAAACCAGAGACCCTCTGGTTCATAGGCTGGCACTCAAATCACTAAGCCACACCAGCCAGGGCACCAGTGAGTCAAAGTAGCTCTACCTAATACACAGAAACAAACACAAGGAGGCTGTGAAAGTGAGGAGACAAAGAAATATGGCCCAAATGAAGGAACAGGACAAAACTCAAGAAAAGGAACTAAACAAAATGGATATAAGCAATCTATCAGATGCAGAGTTCAAAACACTAGTTTATCAAGATGCTCAAGGAACTCACTGGGTACTTCAACAGCATAAAGAAGACCTAGGCAGAAATAAGGTTACACCAAGTGAAGAAAAATGTATAGGAAATTAACAGTGGAGTGATGAAGCCAAGAATCGAATCTATGATTCGGAACATAAGGAAGAAAAAAATCTTCAATCAGAACAGCAACAAGAAAAAAACAATCCCCCCCCCCAAAAAACAACCAAAAACAAGGATAGGCTAAGGAGCCTCGGGGACAACTTCAAAAGTACCAACATTCAAATCATAGCAGTGCTGGAACAAAACGGTAAAATGTTCAATAAAGTTATTGGTGATAATCAAGAATGTATTTTATTTGACTTAAAACCAAAGGAATTTTTTGGTCCAACCACATGCCCCAAAATAAACACACCTATGTCTGGAAAAACTTATATTTAAGGTATAGCAAAAAAGGTTTTGATAAAATGTAAAAGATTAGAGCAAAATCAATAATTCAGCTGTCAAGGGAAGCTATATATATTAAAAAACCTAGCACCTCTAAGGTTGTGCCAGTTGGGAAATAATCAGATTCTCCTGCAACATTATTATTTGCTAAATTACCACAGACCAGGGAAATCACAGTGTTGATCCAAACAATGATCTTGTAGATTTTGCTTATAAAAAATACAATACAGTTCTGCCCTGGCTGGCTGTATTGTAGATCAGTGGATTGAGCATGGGTCTGTGAACCAAAGGGTCCTGGTTCAATTCCCAGTCTAGGGCACATGCCTGGGTTGCAGGCCAGGTCCCCACTAGGGGACGTGTAAGAGGCAACCACGCATCGGTGTTTCTCTCCCTTTCCCATTCTCTAAAAACAAACAAACAAAAGCAATCAAGCGACCAAACAAAAACCCAGTTCCTTCCTTTTTATAGTTTTATAGTATTCCACTACATAAATGTACCATGGCTTTTTAATCCACTCATCTACTGTTGGACATTTGGGCTGTTTCCAGATCTGGGCTGTTGTAAAAAATGCTGCTATGAACATATGGGTGCATATATTCTTTCTAATCGTGTTTCAGGATTCTTAGAACATATTCCCAGAAGTGGAACCACTTGGTCAAATGGCAGTTCCATTTTTAATTTTTTGCAGAAAGTCCATACTGTTTTCCACAGTGGCTGCACCAGTCTGCATTCCCACCAGCAGTATACTAGGTATCCCTTTTTTCCACATGCTCACCAACACTTGTTTGTTGATTCGTTAACAGCCATTCTGCCGGTATGAGGTGATATCTTATTGCAATTTTTAACTTGCATGTCTGACAACTAGTGACACTGAGCATTTTTTCATGTCTATTGGCCATTTGTATGTCTCTTGCCCTTTACAACAGCGTTGATTATTAATAACCTGGAGATTATTATGCTAAGTGAAATAAGCCAGCCAGATAAAGACAAATACCATATCATGCCATATATATGTGGAATCCAATGAACAAAATAAACTGATGAACAAAGACCAGAGGCATGGAGACATGAACAGACTGAAAGATCACAGAGGGGAGGGTGACAGCAGGGACTGGAAGAGATTAGCCAAAGAACATATATGCAGAGCCACAGAGACAGAGCCCACAATGTGGTGAAGGCTGGGGTGGGGGGCCGGATGGAAGAGGGCAAAGGAAAGGGGGAGAAATTGGGGGACATCTGTAAGAGTCCCAACAGTAAAAAAAACACAATAGAGGAAATCCCACTTTTTTTTTGGTACAAACTCCTGGGACCCAGCTCAAACAAGTATTTCAACTCACTGCAGGTCTAACTCATTCATCAGTTTCAGTGGCTCAGGAAAGTAATAAATGGTACCAGCCCAAACATTTGCTTTAATGATACTGAAGAAGCACCATCCAGTGGCAAGAGGAGCAACTGCAATTTCTGGGCACTACAAATGTCATTTTTCCAAGGCTTGACTTCTGATGACATGTCAAAACAGAGGAACTGATGCAAGCAGAAACAGCCTGTATAACAAACTCCATACAAGGAAAATTTAACAACTTATATAGTACATGATCATATCTGTGGTCTTTAACAAGTGAAAAATAAATGTTTTTACCAGACCGGGAAAAGAAGAAGAATCACAACCTATGATCTTTTGAATGTAGCTTAGTCTGAAATTTAAGAGACAAGGTTGTAGACCTAGCTAGTAACTCTGTCATTATTAGAACAAATTTTGAAAAGTCCATTTTCCAATGTGGGCATTAGTTTATCTGGATGCAGATGTGAAAATGGAGAATGCAAAAAAGTTCCCTCTAAAAATCCTTTCATATTATATAGTATACTTAGTAAACACTCAGAATTTACAATGTGCCTGGCACATTGTAAGTGTACTTTATGGATTAACTCATTAAATTCTCAAAACAATCTTAGCCCCATACTATTTGGGTTGGTCAGAAAGTTCATTTAGGTTTTTTTTCCTGTAAGATGGCTCTAGAAGCACTTAGCTGTCTTCAACTTTATTCAAAACAATTTTGTTAGACTATATTGTGACAGCTGTCATATTAGTGTGCATTAAAAAAAAAAAAAAACTTATCAGCCCTGGCTGGTGTGGCCCAGTGGACTGAGTACCAACCTGCAAATTGAAGGGTTGCCTGTTTAATTCCCAGTCAGAGCATGTGCCTGGGTTGTGGGCCAGTGGAGTGTGCAAAGAGACAACTGACTGTTTCTCTCGTACATTGACGTTTCTCTCCTTCTTCCCTTCCAAGAATAAATAAAAT